TATTATTGTTGTGATGAAAGACCATGACCAAAAGCAAGTTGGGGAGGAAAGGGTTTATCTGGTTTACACTGCCACATTGCAGTCTATCATTGGAGGAAGTCAAGACAGGAACTTGGAAGCAGGAGCTGATGCAGAGGCCATGGAGGGGGTGCTGATTACTGGCTTGCTCCTCACAGTCTGCTCAGCTTGCTTTCTTATAGAACCCAGGACCACCAGCCCAGGGCTGGCACCACCCACCATGGGCTGGGCCCTCCCCCATGAATCACTAACTAAGAAAATGTCCTCCAGGCTTGCCTACAGGCCAGTCGTATGGAGGCAATTTCTCAGTTGAGGCTCCTAGCTCTCTGACGATTCTAGCTTGTGTCAAGTTGGCGTATAACTAGACAGCACACTCTCCAATGCCTGCACTAGGGAGGGAGAGATAGGGGATCCCTGGAGCTCACTCTCCAACTAATCAGTGGGCTCCGGGTTCAGAGAGAGACCCAGCCTCAAAAATAAATAAATAAATAAATAAAATAAGGTAGAGGGAAGGCCAGACAGCTTATCAGCTAAGAGTGTTTGCTGTTCTTCCTGAGTTCAGTTCCCTGCAGCGTCTCAGATGGCTCACAACTACCTGTAACTCCAGATCCAGGGGAATCTGACACCCCCAGATGCGCGCGCGCGCGCGCGCACACACACACACACACACACACACACACACACACACAGAGTTAACTAAGTGTAATTACCTACCCTCTTACCTTACAAGCTATGGGACTAAGGCAAAGTGGGTTCATGATTTAGGAGTCAAACTGGGTCATGCCGGGAATTCATATTTCCACCACAATGTCCTCTCTGTGACCCTCATTGCAAAACCTTGTAATGAAGCTTGCAGGCTAACTAATTGCTGTGCTTCTTTTAAAATAAACAAGATCTCCATGTGTATAAATGCCCAAAGATTAGCTAAATGACTTCTGAAATTTCTGCCAGCCCAGGCTATGAACTTCATGTCATACTTGGGGCTCCTCATGAAGGCACACTGTTGCAATTCCGCCATCTAGTGGTGAGAACTTGACATGGCACCTCCAGCCATCACCAACACACTATGGTTACCTTAAATGCCCCAGTAACCAGAGTTTTTGCAGGATGCCAGACACATGGTGGCACTGTGCTAAAACACTGCCTTCAGGATTATGTGACACCAGAAACCGAAAGGTCTCTAGTTCTGACATCTTCAGCTCTCAACCTAGTGACTCTGTTCAGGAGAATAAGCTGAGACTTCAGTTTTAAGGGGAGTGCTTATCTATGACACTGGGGGGAAAGAGCAGGGAAGAGCCAAGTCTGACTCAGATCTTGAAGGGTTAGAATAATTTTAATGTTGCTATTCTACTGATCAGCCAGGAAAGATGAGCCCCTTCCACAATAGTAGCAAGTCTGAGACCCGCTCCACAAGAAGTGAAGTACCAGACTTCACATCTGGTTCTATAAACCTGGCCCAAAGTCCATGGCTGGGGAGATCACAGGCCCTAGAGAGGATGCTACAGCTGTCGTTGTGCTAAATAGATGTGATATACTTGTCAAGTTGCCTTCTGTTGGCTTTCTCCACTCTTATACAATCCAGAATTCTCTACCTAGGGAATGGTGCCACCCACAATCAGCACACCTCAGTTAATTAATTAATCAAGATAATCCAGACAAGCCCACAGGCCAAACTAATCTAGACAATCCCTCATCGAGACTCCCTTCCTGTGTGACTATAGATTGTGTCAAGTTGACAATTAACATGAACCACATCACCAACCCAAAAGTATTTGGACATTTCTGTTGCTATTGTTATTAATGGGAATTGAGCCACAGGTGCCAGATAAGAGCTCACCGCTGAGCTATATTCCCAGCCCTTACTATTATTACCACTATATTTTAATGTTCTTGAATGGGGACAGTAGCTCCCACCTCCTGGCTTGCTGGGAATGCCAGTGATTTGCTCGGTGAGGATACAGCACAGGGCAGGTGTTCAGGACATTAACGGTGTTTTTCCTCTCTCCAAAGTTTGCCTTTGTGCTCAAAGGATGCTGCTTCTTGATCACCTCATCTCTCAGGTCCACGTTCCTCATCTTCTCCCCACAGGTAGTAGAGACTGTGGACTGGATCAGAAGTTCGGTGCAGAGTTGGGAAGACACGAGTGGGCCTGCTCCAAGCCAGTCTCTGCTCACTGCCTCCAGCTCACTCCCTCTGATAAGGGAAGTTCCCCCAAAGCTGCCCTTCCTCTCCGTCTGGGAGCAGACAGCTCCATGGAAACCTGAAGTGGGAACTTTGTTTTCTGTCTTAGACCCTGGGTGGCAGAGAGCTTGGCCTTATGGACACACTCAGCCATTCTTCCTTCCTCATAGCAGCTGCCCTGTGACCCATCACTTCCCGTCAATCCATAGGATGGGTCCCAGGCCAGAGCCTTCCTTACGTCTCCCCCATTGAGGTAAAAGGACAGGAATTTCTTCTGTCTTCACATAAATAAGACCCCAACACCACAAAGACGATGTATTGGTCTTGCCAGTTCCTGAAGACGAAATGCCCCCGAACTCTCCTCAGTGGACAAGATGGCAGAGAAGAAGCAGTCATCTTAGATCACCAGACAGCTCACACATGAGGACACAGTATAAAAGGGGCTTGAGTTCCTGTGGGATTTAGTGCCACCAGCCCTGGACCTCACTGGGAAAGAGAAGAATGAATGCTCTTCCATCTCTTGTCTGGTTGTTTGTTTGGCTGTTGGGCTGGCTGGTTATTGTTTGTTACTGCTTGGTTTTTAAAGGTTTTAAAGATTGCTTTCCTTTTGGGTTAGTTTGGGGGTTTGGGGGGTTTTGTTCTGTTTTTGTAACAGGATTGTCCTGTAGCCCTGGTTGTCCTGGAACTATGTAGCCCAGGCTAGTCCCAAACTCACAAATCTCTCTCTCTCTCTCTCTCTCTCTCTCTCTCTCTCTCTCTCTCTCTCTCTCTGTGTGTGTGTGTGTGTGTGTGTGTGTGTGTGTGTGCATGTGTGTATTCTCAGAAGTTAGAAGATGGCATTGGATCCCCTGGAGATGGAATTTAAAGTGGTTGTGACACCAGGCGGTGGTGGCACACGCCTTTAATCCCAGCACTTGGGAGGCAGAGCCAGGCGGATCTCTGTGAGTTTGAGGCCAGCCTGGTCTACAGAGTAAGATCCAGGACAGGCACCAAAACTACACAGAGAAACCCTGTCTCTAAAAACCAAAATATAAATAAATAAATAAATAAATAAATAAATAAATAAATAAATAAATAAATAAATAAATAAAATAAGGTGGTTGTGAATGTCTGGATATGGGGGCTGGGAACCAAATTCTGGGTCCTCTGGATGAGCAGCAAACTCTTGACCACTGAGTCATCTCTTCAGCCCCACAGTGTGAATATTCTTAACACTACTGTGGTAGTTTGAATGTAATTGGTCCCCATAAACCTATAGGTGTAAGGATTAGGTCCTTAATTACGTCATCAGCCTTCCACCTGTCTCTGATAAAGCTTAACATGTCATGGCTGTGATTCTTCCAATCAGCACACTCCTCTGCCGGCATGGCCGCTGCGGGCGGCGACCAGCCACGAGGAGCAGCACCACAGTGTAACCAACATTGGTGCCGTTCAGACTCGGATACACCACCGAGCACCGAGGATCTGCTGTGACCACTGCCGCCTCTTCCCCCATCCAGCGAGTCTTCGAGACCACAAGAGTCCCTTGCCACCTCCACTGGACCCCCACACCACTACCGCCATGATTCTTCACCACAGTAAGTCCGCTGTTCTCGCGGCTGTAGTCTGAGCTATATTCTTTGCGACGGACACCCCGGGGGTTGTCCTCGGGCTGTACTGATGAGGAAGTAAATGCTGTCTCGGCTCTACCGGGCGGACCAACTGCAGTACAGTCGCAGCCCTCACGATCCCTTGATGAAGAGGACTCATGACCTGAGCTGATTCATGGATCTCTCTCCACTCTTTGGGGATGCCCGAGATTATAGTCTGATCCCGGTTTGTTATTTTAATTTTTTATTTTTTCTCTCGACGACAGCCATGAGACAAAGGGGCAGATACATTGGCGGATAGGGGCGGGCACCGGTAAACCTGGCCACATAACATCGTAAACCTGGCTGCATAACAGAGTTGCGGGAACTTCTGCCAGCGAATGGGCAAATAAGAAGTTACTTTATCTCCAAGCTTTCTGCTAAAGTTCTAAACCCTTCTCCTTCCCCACTTCTGTGTCTCCACATGCAACCTTTTCTGTCTGACTTCTGCCAGCAGTGGGCAGGCTCAAATGGGAGGGCTTGGGCGGTTTCTACGACTCGCCCTAACTCACCTTAACTCCACCCACTCATTCTCAAACTGCCTTGAGAAGCACAGATGAGTCTGGAAGCGGCTAAGATCCATACAAATAAGTTTACAGTAGTCAAGATGGCTCTTAAGCCAAAAATCAGCTTATAGCCTCAGACAAGTCTTCTAAAGGGATCAGTTTATAGTCTGCCTACTGGCAGATCTTCCAAAAGCTGTCCTTAAGCCACCAATCATCAGGAAAAAAAAATTCAGGACATGGAGTAAAATCTGTTTCTTATTCTCCAGACCTCCCCGACTAAAACTTAAGCATCTGGAGAGCAAGGCTCCTGATACCATAGGCAAAAGAGTCATCTGTGGCATTTAAGGTGTGCCAGGGAAGAGATAAAAGCCCGAAAATAAAATTGCCAAGTGCTGGCACTCGCTGACTCCCAAAAGCTGTTGGGTCCCTGTTTTAAGTGAGGAAAAGGCCACGGGCTAGCAAATGCCCTGCCAGACCATCAACAGCCTTGTTAAAAGTGCCACCTAGGCCGGGCGGGTGGTGGCGCACGCCTTTAATCCCAGCACTCGGGAGGCAGAGGCAGGCGGATCTCTGTGAGTTCGAGGCCAGCCTGGGCTACCAAGTGAGTCCCAGGAAAGGCGCAAAGCTACACAGAGAAACCCTGTCTCGAAAAACCAAAAAAAAAAAAAAAAAGTGCCACCTAGAAAGACAAAGAGTCAGCTAACTGCCCCCAGGCACCAAGATGCATGGGTACATCAAGCTAAGACCTCCAGCAGACCTAGGCTTGGCTACAGACATGACAGGGAACCCAGAACGCAGCAGGGGAAGCGATCCGATTCTTTCCTTCTGGACACCAGAGCCACTGACTCAGTCCTGGGAGTTTTGGGATGCCACCTCTCCTTTATTGTCGGGTACAGAGGACAGCCTTACCACCTCACCAGATTTAATTGCACTTTCAGAGTTACTTAATGAAAAAAGATTTCCACCTAAAATAAGAGCTTATTGCTTCACTCCAGATCCACTGCCTGTGGTTCTCACGTGCATACAGACAGGGCCCTGAATTCTCATGCACCACAAGCTTTTCTCTTCCCGGTTCCCTGTTGGTACAGGACCACCACAGAACCGGAGTCCAGAGATCATCAAATAAGAAACTGTAACAGCTAAAAGGTATTTACACCCCCAGACCCAAAAGCATCTGGGCACTACAAAAAGACTTTAATGTAAACATCTATTACTATGAGATGCTTTTAACAATTGATCACCTGTCTCCTAGATGCTGAACTAGTAAAGGAAACAGGTGCTTTAAAATAATCTGTCTCTGATAAAGCTTAACATGTTTCAAAATCCATAGGGACAGGCCGGATCTACCTCAGATAAATGTCAACATAAAATAATAATGATTCTTTTATCTCTCTAAGTTTTTTTCTGTGTCACCAGCATCTTGTCAAACAAAAAGTTCCCAGCCACAGCCAAGAGGGATACATATCTCCAGAGAAAACAGATGACAGACAGCATTCCACAATGCCTGTCTGCCTTGGAAAACTCCCCTTCTCCATTCCCCCAGAGCCAACCAACATCCAAGAGTCAGCTGGAAGCAGTTTTTGAGAGGAACGACGCCCCTAGTCCCATCTACCTGCTTTTTTTTTTTTATATGTAATAAGGGAAAGTCTGGGGTGTAAGGATTCCTTAATTACGTCATCAGCCTTCAATGGCGTCCCACCCTTTTTTTTTTAGGGTGGGTAGGCCCTCTGGGGCCGGCCCTCTGTGTGCCCCTCTCCTTTCCTCTCCTTCCTCCCATCTGCCCCCCTCTCCTTCTCTATCTCTCTCTCTCCCCACTCTCTCCCAATAAAGCTCTAAAAAGGTAACCATGGCTGTGATTCTTCCAATCAGCACGCTCCTCCGCCGGCATGGCTGCCGCGGGTGGTGACCAGCCATGAGGAGCAGCACCACAGTGTAACCAACAATAAGGAGTGGCACTATTAGGAGGTGTGACTTTGTTGGAGGAAGTGTGTCACTGAGGAGGCGGACTTTGAGGTCTCATATATGCTCAAGTCACGCCCAGTAAAATAGGCCACTTCCTGTTGCCTATGAGTCAAGATGTAGGACTCTCCGCTCCAGCACCATGTCTGCCTACACACCACCATGTCCCACCATGATGATAATGGATTAAACCTCTGAAACTGTAAGTCACCCCATTAAATGTTTTCCTTTATAAGAGTTGCTCTGGTCATGGTGTCTCTTCACAGCAACAGAAATAATAACTAAGACAACTACTGAAATTGACTGAAAAATGGTTAGCATGCTGAAGTCTGTATTCTGTGTTTAATCACATTTTTTAAGAAACTGGGGATCTAAGGTAATTATACATACTAAGCAAGTGTTGACTTAACACATACTTAGTATGTATAATTAGCCCAGGCTGGCCTCAAACTCACTGTGTAGCTCAACATGATCTGATCTTCCTGCCTCAACCTCTCTACCACTGGGATCACAAGTGTGTGAAGCCAGGGCTCTGTGAGGGATCCTGGCAGTCCCGGGTGTTCCTTTTCCCACCTTCTGCCTAAGGGTGACAGAGTGGAGACAGAGCTTTGTAGGGGTGAGACCCCTGAGTCCTCAAGCTGCAGGCCCTTCGAGGGCCTCTCCCTCATGTGTCTGTTGCCACTATTCCTAGATCCTTGGCCTTTTGTCCTAGTCTCCCTGTTCCCAGATCTAACTCATTTCTCAAGAACATGAGGCCTCGGATGACATTATCACATGCACACACAAATTAACTCCATTATTAGGTTTTAAAAACAGCCCAAGGATTGGTGAGACTCGGTGCTGGGCTCTTTATTTGCAGGGAGGATTGTAGGTCTGAGAGGTTATAGAGCTGTGACGTGGTGTGAGTCCAAGATTCTGTGACAGCCACCATGGGTCTCTCCCTTGCTCACTCAGGGCCAAGCACCTGAAAAAAAAAAAAGTGCTAGATAAAGAAAGCATGTCATCCTCCCACATCCCATGCCCTTATCACAACCTCACATCATGGGGAGGGTCCTACACCAAGGGTTTGAAGTAAAGAGGCATAAGCCAGGGATTTCAACTTGGGGTGAGGCTTTGTCACACCCAGGAGCCTGTACTGGGCCCAGACCTGAAAGACCTAGGGAGAGGCAAGAGGGTATAACAGTAAAGGTGAAAACAGGGTATGTCCTGGTTGGCTTTTTATTTGTTTGTTTGTTTGTTTGTTTGTTTGGGGGTTTGTTGTTGTTGTTGTTGTTTTGCCAACATGAGTTATCTGAGAAGAAGAACCTCAGTTGAGAAAATGCCTCCTTCAGAGTACCTGTAGGCAAGTCAGTAGGTTTTTTTGTTGTTGTTTGGCTTGGTTTTTTGACTAATGATTGATGTGCAAAGTCCCAGTCCACTTGGGGAAGTGCCACCTCTGGATACCCCGAACTGTGTAAGAAAGCGGGCCAAGCAAGCCATGAGGAGCAAGCCAGTGGGCAGTGTTCCTCCATGGCCTCTGCTGCAGTTCCTGCCTCCAGGTTTCTGCACATTGAGTTCCTGCCCTGACTTCCCTCAGTGATGGAGTGTGACCTGAGAGTTGTAAGCTGAATAAACCCTTTCCTTCTCAAGCTGCATCTGGTCGTGGTGTTTACCACAGCAACAGAAATGCCAACTAAGACCAGGCAAAAGACGAGGGGGCAAGAGGTGGGGCAGGAGAGACATGAGCCAGCACAAGATGGTAGCCCCAGGCTGCCCTCCTATCTTGGCTCCACAGACCTGGCACAGAAGACTTCTAGGGCGTGTGGTGTGTCCATAAACCCCTCTGAACCCAGAACCTTGTTATTTTGCCAACATGAGTTATCCAACCTTGAGGAAGAGGCAGAACTCACCCTGGAGAAACCTGGCTTTACCCGGACATGATGTGCTTGACAAAGGCTAAGGAAAGAAATCGAGAGTCAGCCAGAGTCCCCCTCGGAGCTCTGCCCTCCTCTCCACTGCTTCCGGTCGCCCACACTTCCAACCTTGCCATGCCCTTTCTGCAGGTGGGAATTCTCTTCCGAGAGGGTTTGTGGAGAAGGCAGAAGAGGGAAGAGACCTGAACTCTGCGATGTGTCCCCTCTGTGCTGACATTAGACAGGTGACATGAACTACTACACCATCACTATACTATAGATCTCCACAACTTACGAAAGGCATCAGCACGCCCACCCCCCATCTGAGGCTCAGAGATGGTGGCTTGATCAAAGTCACACACATGGTTTATCACAGAGCTATCAAGGTCCTGGGCCAATGAGATGGATCAGTGGGTAAAAGTCTTGTCACAAAACCCTGATGACCTGAGTCCAGTCCCCAGGAACCAGTGGTAGAAGGAAGTATTGTTTCCTGAAAATTGACCTCTGAATACACATGTGTGCCCATACCAACACGCAAATCATGTATACACACACACAATAATAGTAATACAGATGTATTTTGATGCCCCTTCCATTATATCAGATATTCACTCCTAAGATGGAAAAAAGACAGCACCCAGTGAGAATCTGCCACAGCCCATCTGAGACACACATCCTGCAGCCTCTGGGCTGGCCCATGCCATCCCACACCGCTCTCTTACCCGGGGCACCCTGGGAAGCAAAGAAGGACCAAACCTTCATAATTGATGCAGCCATTGGTGTCCTCCTGCCCAGACAACAGCTGCTCCACCTCGGCCTCACTCATCTTCTCTCCTGTGTGGGGTGTGGGAATGGGGTCGGAACGACAAGTGGCAGAGAGCGGGAAGGAAAACAGAAGCACTCAGGAGGCTGAAAGTCCTCCCTGGATCTGAGAAACGGTTAGTGCCAAGCCTCAGCAAAAGCTCTGGAAGGTGGGATCAAGTATCTCAGGGCACAACAGCAACGGTGAGGGCAAGGAAAGAAGCCCCGAGGCCATGGCAGACTCAGAGTAACCCCTTCTCTGCCAGCTGTTCTCCTCTCCCAGCCCCTGGTACTTGCTGGGCCAACCCAGTTCCTGGGGTAGATGGGGTAAGGGGTTCCCATAGCTACCAGGGAAAGAGGCCCTGGATTAGGGTTTGCCAGATACAGGGGCCCTTAGACACACCCCACCAGACGCCACTCGGCCCCTCTTATCCTTCGGCTGCTTTCATCTCTGCTGACGTACCCAGAGTAGCGAGGACGTGCCGAAGCTCAGCCCCCATGACCGTGCCATTGCTCTCTTTGTCGAAGACCCGCAGCCCCTCCACGAAGTCCTCATAGGTGCCCTGCTCCTTGTTGCGGGAGATGTGCTGCAGGATGGGCAGGAACATCTCGAAGTCCAGTGTCTTGGAACTCATCTCTTCCAAAGGGCATGAGGGCAGACAGAGAACAACGCTTGAGTCGATGCTCAGGGGAGGAGAGGGCCAAGAGGCCTCTTCCCAGCCTTGACACCACCCAGGGCTTAGAGTGAGCCACTTCACATGTGACAGGCAGAGTCACAGGGATGGGCCAACAGAATCGGAAAAAAACTAGTGTCCTTGGAACTCTGCACTGGGTCCAGTTATTAGACCGTTCTGTATGGGTGCTGAGATATCTAAATATTAATCCAACACTAACCTTCAGGCTTGGGTTTGCCCAAAACACGCAGCACCTCTGCATTGGTGGGGTTCTGGCCGAGGGCCCGCAGCACGTCCCCACACTGCCCAAAGGTGATCTTCATCTCTCCAGTCGGAGTTCGGTCAAACAATGAAAAGGCCTCTTTGAACTCTGCAGAGAGACACCCAGCTACAGCCCCCTGCCCCAGGAGAAGGCAGTGGCTGTGGCTTCCTCAATGGAGTAGTTAAAGGATGTAGCAGTTCCCTTGATCCACTCACTCTTCCAGCTGTCCTTGGAGACTGCTTTTACCCATCTTCTGACAAGCAAAGTCACCTGGGGACCCCATGACTTGTCCTAGCACTGGTCTCGGAATCCCTTCTCCCAGTCCGTTATAGGATTGGCTAGTTCCCTATTTCTCCCCACCCCACATCTTATCATTGCCAGGAATGAGGCTTTCCAGATTTTCAGTTTGGCTCTGCCTAGGAGAGTAGGACAGCCAGGCCGCGGCTCAGCTCCCTGCTGCTCTGCCCATTATCCCTGTCACTGAGTGTCCTGGGAGGTAGCAGGATGTGGACACAGTTTGCAAAGTGATAAGACCTATTCCAAAGTCAGCTATTATCAGGACCGCCTGTTCCCAACTGCAAGAGCTCCAGAGCCAGACAAGGTGACATTGGGGCCATAGTCAGACCACACCAGGCCTGCCACTGAACCACTGAACCACTGGTAGCTTTTGGTAAACTGACACTTTTGTAGGTCTTAGCTTTAACTGAGGACACAATGTCCACCTGCATGTGTGGCTGGTGGGAGCACAAATTGTGCCAAGGGTGTGGCTCACAGAGGGAGGGAACAGACCAAGGTGCCTCTCTTGTCTCCTGCCTCTGGGGCTAGCTCAGTACAAGAAAGACCTGGTACCTTGAAGTTTGCAGAGCAGGCAGCTAAGGGGCAAAGTCAAATGAAGACACCCCTGGGCCCTCTGTAAATAGCCTTAACTCTTCAACGGTTTGCTTGCTTTTGTTTCTGTGAGACAAGGTCTCATGTAGTCCTGGTTGACCCCAAATGTGCTATGTAGCAGAGGATAGCCTGGTGCTCCTGATCCCCCTGCCTCCACCTCCCAAGTGCCAGGATTATAGACATGTCTGACTAATTCTCCACCAATTTTGATTCAATTACTTTATTAGAATAGTATGAACTGGCCGTGGCACTTAAGTCCCCTCATGCCGTGGACAAAGGAGTGGACAACCACAAGTGACAGCAGACTGCTGTAACTGATGGGGCAGCAAAGAGCCGCACTGTGGAAGCCCTGTTCCGGAATGTGTAAATCTGGTGGGGGGAGAGAAGTCATCTGCTGGAAGCTAGCTCCTACAGTGGTAGAGCAGGTCAGCAGAGTGAACCAAAGAAGAATGTTGAGTTACTTGAGTGGGGGCAGGCGGGGGGGGGGGGGGGGGGGGGGGGCGCTGCCTTTAATCCTTTCCAGGTACTTTAGAACTGCTTGGTTCCTTAAAGGCTGCATATGAATTACTTACAAATTATTCCACAGTCAAAGCAGAGTGCCCCAGATTTAATTACATACAATTCTTCCTGCTGGGGATCCCAGTGGACACATGAAAACACCAATGTTTAGAATTACGACTAGCCATTGGTACAGGAGCCGCCATATCAAGTGGCAACACAGGGCAGTAATGAGGTAGCTGCCTCAGGAGACAAAGAGCCTCGTAGTGGAAGCCCTGTTCTAGAAGGTTATGCAAATCTGGCAAGGGATCAGAGAAGTCAACAGCTGGAACTTCCTATGGGGGCGGGGGTGGGGGGGATGTAATAAGGAAATTGGAGCCATAGCACCCAGAAAATACAAAGCTCAGAACAATGTGGTCACTAGCTCCAGATAGATGAAGGGTGGATATAGACAAGATGCTGAATAGTCACAAAATTTCAGAACTGAACAGAACCAAATATCCTCGCTTTGAATAAAAGAAAATTAAGTTTTGTAGAAGTAACTACAGGGCTGGAAGGATGGCTCAGTGGTTAAGAGTGCTTAATGCTCTATCAGCCAAGGTTTGAAACCCAACACCCACATCAGGCAGCTCACAAAAGCCTGTAAATTCAGCTCCAAGAGATCTGATGCCTGCTTCTGGCCTCCAGGAGTGCATATGCATGCACACAAACATAAAATGAACTTGGAAGAAGACAGGGGAGTGAACAACACCTTACGGCTCATAGCGGAGGAGCTGGTGATAGTACAATAGTCCCCTGATTCCCAAAGAATGTTCTTCTCATCATGACACAACAAAACCATCAGCTGGGGCTGGGGATGTGGCACAGTCAGTAGAGAGCTTGCCTAGCATGGGTGAAGTCCTGGGTTCCATCCCCAGCACCCCATAAACCAGGTGTGGTCATACACACTTATAACCCCAGCATTTGGGAGGTGGAGGCAGGAGAATCAGAAGTTCAAGGCCATCATCAGTTAAAAGTGAATTTGCAGCCAGGCTGGGTTAATTAAGACCCTATCTTAAGAAAAAAAAAAAAAAAAGAAAGAAAATCACTCACCAGTAGCCACAGCTTCACCAAAAAGCACATGGAGAGACAATAGGGATGAAACTTAAAGGAGAAACCATCGTAATCCAACATGAAGTGTTGTGGAACAATTCTTTTCTACACTATGAATATGTATTACTCTCATTTGCTAATAAAAAACTGATTGGCTGATAGCTGGGAAGGAAGAGATTGAGCTCTAGAGCCAGACTAAGAAAATTCTGGGAAGAGGAAGGGCAGAGTCAGAGAGTAGGCTTCCAGGTGCAGAGGGTGAAGGAGATGAACAGCCATGTAGCAGAGTGCAAATAAGGAATAAGGGTTAACTTAAAAATCTAAGAGCTAATTAGTAATAAGCCTGAGCTGTTGGCCAAGCATTTATAATTCATATAAGTCTCTGTGTGTTTATTTGGGACCGGGCAGTCGGGACAGGAACCATCTGTCTACAATGAAGAGAAGCAGCTTCAGAGTCAGGGTGTGAAAGGTTACAAAGAGCTAAACCCCAACCTGAAAACTTCAGGGAGAGTAGAACTCAACCAGCTGTCTTGGTGAGCTTTCCGCCACGATTTTCCTTGGGAAATGGAAGACTCTGGTTATTGAGTGAGTTTCTAGTCCTCGCTGGTGCTGTGGGGTTGACATAGCCACAGACACATGCATTAACTAGAAAGCACTAAGAATTTCACGGTGTCTACCAAACTGTTACCCGACAGGGAGTCTCCACGGCGTATGACAGAAACAGATTCCTGTCACAGGTCCAAAACACTTGTGTCAGTTCTCATGTTCTGTGTGTGAGTAAACTGATACCACTCTCTTAGAGGGAAATTGACAAGAACTATCATTAATTAATCTTACAGCCCAAATGCGGGCATGCTTTCACCCAGTGCTAGGAAGGCTGTCTGGAGAAAAGATGCTAATGCACACTAAATATAAACAACATGAAGGTCTCTGATTATTTAAGTACATCCGCTTGTCAGAAGTCCCAAGCTTTCTCTTCCTTTAAGGTTTATTTAATTTTTAATTAATTGTGTATGGGGGGGTGCATGTGAGTGCAGGAGCTGAAGTTACAGGTGGTTGTGAACTGCTCTGGGACATGAACTCAGATCCTCTGCAAGAACAGTACACACGTGTAACCACTGAGCCAGCTCTCCAACCCCTTGAGATTTATCCCAAAGTTGCATTTACTGACACTTTATATAAGATTGAGAAAATATAAATTGTTCCTATTGAAAATGAGAAGATTTGGTGACAGAGACCACAGATAGACTAGTGTGCCTGCGAGTCACCACTGGCTCTGCCACCAGGGAGGGTGAGCATGTCACAGACTTACTTCATGATGAAGGAGGGAGTGCCCATAAGCTAAAGACTATTGCCAGTATCAAGAACAGAGAGAAGGACTTCCTGCTGTGAAATAACCCTCTTGTACACTGTAAAGATTTGTCACTTGAATTGGTTTAATAAAACACTGATTGGCTGGTAGCTAGGCAGGAAGTTAAGTGAGAAAGCCAAACTGAGAATGATGGGAAGAAGGAGGGCGGAGTCAGAGAGACGACAGCCAGTCACCAAGTGCTGTGGGATGTTCTGTATGGCAAATGTGTTGCTCTGATTGGTCAATAAATAAAACACTGATTGGCCATTGGCTAGGCAGGAAGTGTAGGCAGGACAAGGAGGAGAATAAAGCTGGGAAGTGGAAGGCTGAGTCAGAGAGACACTGCCAGCTGCCACGATGACAAACAGCATGTGAAGATGCCGGTAAGCCACGAGCCATATGGCAAGGTATAGATTAATGGAAAAGGATTAATTTAAGCTATAAGAACAGTTAGCAAGAAGCCTGCCACGGCCATACAGTTTGTAACCAATATAAGTCTCTGTGTTTACTTGGTTGGGTCTGAACGGCTGTGGGACTGGCAGGTGAGAGAGATTTGTCCTGACTGTGGGCCAGGCAGGAAAACTTTAGCTACAACCGAGGAAGCAAGACATGTAGAAAATGAGGTAACATGCCACATACCACGTGGCAAAGCATAGATAAGAAATATGGGGGCTGGAGAGATGGCTCAGAGGTTAAGTGCACTGGCTGCTTTTCCAGAGGTCCTGAGTTCAATTCCCAGCACCCACACTGTGGCTCACAACCACTTGTAATGGGATCCGGTGCCCTCTTCTGGCCTGCAGTGCAGGTGTACACACAGGCAGAACACTGTATACATAATAAATAAATAAATAAATAAATAAATAAATAAATAAATAAATAAATAAATGAATGAATGAATGAATGAATGAATTAATGAATTAATGAATTAATGAAATATGGGTTTAGTTAAATGTAAGAGCTAGCTAGTAATAAGCCTGAGCCATCAGCCAAGTTTTTATAATTAATATAAGCCTCAGAGTGGTAATTTGGGAAGCAATTTCTGGGTATAATCAAGCATAAGGGACAGAAAGCTCCATCTCTGTTTACAACTTCCAGATGTCTTGACAGATTAGGGGGGATGGAGGAGAGGTAAAGACATCAGCATCACTTGACACTGAGCATCAGCTCTATCTCAAGCACTCTGCAAGGACAGCTGAAAACAAAGGTCAAGAATAAGACACCCAGACCTGAATCCTGGATCCACCTCTGCCGACCATGTGAGAATGGACAAGACACCCAAATTCTCCAAGCCTCATTTTTACTACCCGTTACACGGGGCAGTGGTAGCTACTACACCTCATAGGACTGTTGGAAGAATCAAGTGACTTGATCCATAGGAAGTGCCCACGACTGCACCTAGCAGGCCTGCTGGGATAATAACTACCGTCACAACCAAGGACCACTACTCCTTCTCTGGAAAGTGCAAGAGAACGTGGGGGTGTCCGCACTCACCTTCGATCTGGTCGGCACTGAAGTCTATCTGTAGGGAAGAAACACAGGAGTGAGCGCGGGGACGGCTAACGACTTCCAAAAGGAAGTCTGGTCACCTCCAGCCGGCCACTGATGAAGAGGGGTGGACACCGGACAGAGTGTAGACCAGTCTCCTGATGAATGGGCCAAAGCTGGAGATCGAGGTAATGCAGCCTTCAAAGCTCTCTCAAAACCAAGAAGGTAAGTGAAAGGGTGGAGCTGCTGAAAGGATTCCACAACTAAGAGCCACTGTTGCTCTTGAAGGGGACCCACGTTCAGTTCCTAGCACCTACATGACAGCTCACTACCATCTGCCACTCCAGTGCCAAGGGTTCCAGTGCTCTCTTCGACAGCCACGCACACGGTACACATACATACATGCAGACAAGACACTCATACCCATAAGTAAATCTTTTAAAAAATTGCCATCAAGAGGAAAAAAATAAAGGAAAGTTATCTATCTACACAGTCCTAGAGCCTATGGTGACCTGCATTGCAATCTCTTTGGGTCGACAGTAAACTCCTCCTCCTAGAGAGCCCTGGAGAAGCCGCCACCCCAGGTTCTCACTAGTCACACTGCCCTGACTAGATGTGCCTCCTGTGGCTTTGAGTGCTCACTGCTGCTCATTCTGGGACAGCCCGCACCTCACCGAAGGAAGCTTTCCCTTCCTCGGTCCCACACCACCTTCCTCCTAGGCACTCTAGTAAGTCACACGTGCCTGGATTCTCTGTCACTGCTTATCTGGACCTGTCTCATTAAAACCAGGTCCCTGCCCCCACCCAGCCCGGGTGATATTATCACTAAAGTGTTTGGTGCATAGTAGGTACTCAAAAATATTGTGTTGAATGAAGAAATGGATTTGGGGTGCCCACCCCCTAACACACATGGTTGTACAACTCTGAGTACCTGGGTGGGACGTTCTGAAAAATGAACTAAGATGACCAAGTATGAGTCATCACTTTAACAATCTTGGATGTCATTTCGATGACGTCCTTCCCCACTCCACTCTACCCTGGTCCTCCCTTCCTTAGTGGTGCCGGGTGCCACCCCTGCAGCATTCATTGCCCACCCTACCTCTTCTCCAGAACTGACAGGGGCTCAGCCGGGGAACTATGGCCAGGAATGGTTTTGCAAGCATGGCGGTAAATGAGGAAAAGAAAAGCACCCTCCACCTCCCATGAGGAAAAGCAAGGTCTACACTAACCCTCCGAGGGAAAGACAACGCTTGCCTTGCTTTGCGATGCTTCTTGCCCCAGGAGCAGACATGTGAAAGAAACCAAGACAGAAGCACTCAGCCTGACCCCGTGGTCATCGTGACGCCATGGGCTCAGGTTTACCTCTGCTCTCACTTGGGTCAGGGGATCTTATAAACCAGACACTGGGTGCTGTGTGAATGGGGAATGGCTCCCATGACTAACGCTGACTTCTTTCTCCTGTTTAAAGGACGGGAAACCAGGAGAGGTGCCTGAGTGGAGGGAAGTGAGAGATGAAAGGGAAGTGTGCTCATTTGACGCCACGGGGCAGCTGTTGTCCAGACAACGAGCACCAGGCATGGCGTTTTATCAGACAAATCAGAAATAAAGGCTCCTGGGGACACAGATGGTCAGCTTTCAGGAAAGACAGATGATGCAGAAAGCCTCCGGGGACTATCGGGGGTTTCCCCACAAGGAGCCACACAACCAGTCCAGGCATGGGGCAACTCCTTCATCTCTTTGACAGATGGATCCTGCTAAACCCCGTAGGGCTAACAGGCTCTCCACCCCTTGGCACAGTATTGTATGATGTGTCTTAAGTGAGCTCGATCCTGAAAAGACTATGGAGGCCCACACAGTTAGAGCCTTGGGTTCAGGGTCTCTGCCTGTGTGTCACAGAAACTTGTCCTCCTCATCACCCCAGCCTTGCCCTGTGAGATTCCCCCCGCCCTGGATCACTCCAGACCTGATATTAATAGCCCTTCATACCAGGAGACACTTGACCTCTCCCAATCTGGTGTCAAGTCTTCAAACTGCTCCTTTCTAGAAGCTTCGGACCCCCTCCTTCCCAGGCCCAGCCCTTCCTGGTTCATTCCTTCAGCAGCTGGGCCAGATTGCTGGGAGGCCTAAAATGACTAAGTCAGTCAACGGGACTCACATCAGCTCCAGAGAGAGGGGTGTTACCGGCCAGGTGAAGAGAACAAGACGAAGCGGGCCTAAAACTGGGAGACTAAAGAAAGCAGGCCCAGCTCCCTCACCAAGTTAGAGAGGTCTCGGTCAGGAGTAAGCCACTCAGGCTGGGGCCGCAAAAGAGTGGCACATCAGTGTAAGGGAAAGAAAAAGAGAAGGCCCCAGGCTGCTCTTATCTTCTCTACCTCCCTTCCCAAGAGTATATTTGTGAATGAGGCCTCCCATGCCCCAGCACACAAGCATCCTCCCTGGCTGCTCACACCCATTCCCGGATGTACCACCAATTCCCATTATGTGTCTATTTCTCATAAGCATGTTCCGCCTCTCAGGGCTGGAAAGAGAATTCAGCAGGCAAGAGTACTAGCTGTTTTTCCAGAGAACTAAGGTTTGATCCCCAGCACCCACATGGCATCTCCCAATCTGTAACTCCAGTTCTGATGGATCCAACGCCCTCTTCTGGCCTCCACAGGCACTGTGTGTATGCGGTACACAGACATGCATGTAGGTAAAACATCCATACACAGTGAATAAAATAGTAAGTTGTAAAAGATATATTCCTGATCCTCTTTAGGTAAAGGCCGACCTTTGCTTCACTATGGTTGCCCCACACTATGTTTTACAAAAGCTGGCTGGTTGGTTGCACCTGCCACCATTTTGGATTCTGCTGGACTAATCAGGGGTGGTCTAGCTGAGCCTCTTTGCACATAGCAGCAATCTGCTGTTAAAACAGAAAGCCTCTAACCTAAGTCTAGCTCTGGTTCTACTGGCCTTTGGGGCTATGACCTAGGGCATGGATGCCATGGTCCTCATCTCTGTCTGACCTGAGAGACTCAGATCTCTCAGCAACAGAGAAAATAAGACCCTGTCATCTCTACCCCTACCCAGTGGACTGAGCGTCACTCACCTTCACACTCTTAGGGTCAAAGGCAGAGTCCTTGAGGGGCTCAGGAGCCGGGGCAGGGGCTGGAGCAGGGGCTGTGGCTGGCTTGGCAGCCTCCTTCTTGGGCTCAGGCTTCTTGGGAGGCATGCTGTCTTGGGGTCTCCAGTGGAGGTAGGACCTAAAAAGGGACCAAAAGAAGAGCAGTGGCTCCTGAGAGAGAAGATGGAAGACTGGAAGGCCGCCTTCTGCTTTTATCCTGGGCAGGAGCCCCCACAGAGGGGCTGGTGAGAGCAGGAGCAACTGTCGCTTACTATAAAAGGAAGAAACACCAGCAGGGCGCAGCTGGCATCTCAGTATTGTCACCAGTTTGGGGCCACCAGTCCCCTCCCCATCCCCCCACAACTCCCACCCCACCCCACCCCCGCACACACCTCACTCCTCACAGCTTGCACCTCTGGAGCAGACTGATCTTTCCTGCCAATTGGTGGAAACCCAGAGAGGGGCAGGGAAACAGACCCTCTCCTAAGTGCCAGAGCAGCCAGAGAGAGATGAACTGACTTGAGCCGTTGATAACCCTCACACATAGCCCAGGGGAGGCCGAGGCTTTTTTTAGCCCCTCCTGAGCAGAGGCAGCCCACTACACATTCCTTTTAAGCCAAGATCCTTTAAGCTGAGAGCCCTAGTCTCTGCCCTAGAGGCTCAACTGTCCAGGCATGGAGCCCTGAGGTAACAGCTGGTCCAGCCAGCCCTGCTGTCGCCATTCTCCTAAGCCACGGGGCAAAAGCCTGAATTGTCCAAGGACAGGCATCCCAAGAACTCCACAGACTTCAGCTCCCTAGATCCACCCTCGACCCACATACCCGCAGATGTTCATTTAGCAAATATTGCACATTTGTGCCTGGGGCGGGGGTTGTCTGGGTAAGAAACAGAGATAAGAAGGCAAAGTTGGGAAGCTAGAGGTTAGAACCTCAAGATCTAAGATCTAGTGCATGCTTTCTCTCTGACTCATTAAGCGTCACTAGACTGTGTGTGTTGCTTACTATGTACCAGGTTACTAGACGCTTTTCCTATAATATCTCATTAAATATTCCAGAATCCTAAAAGGCAGATACTATTATTACTCGGATAACACACACACACACACACACACACACACACACACACACACACACATACACACACACACTATGGTTAAAATAACTTGTCCAAGGTCACTCAAATGATTCACTATGAGCTGGGATTGGAAGACAGGTATATCTGATTCTAATGTGTATAGTTGAATAATTTATATTACAGCATCATTTACATGAGAAAGAAAAATGGAGAGGGTCACCAGGAAGGGCAGGATGGAAATAGGGCAAAGTGATGCATGCCTGGCATCCCAACACTCAGGAGACAGAAACAGGCGGACCATGAGTTTGAGGCCAGTCTGGGCTACATAGCAAGATCATAGTTCAAAAAACAGAAAGAGAGAAGAAGGAAGGGAATGAGAGGTGAGAATCAACTGTTTACAGGAAACTCCCCTGGGGACCTAGGGGTTGGGGGTAGGAGCATGGCAGCAGTTTCTTATTTTTTTTCCACTTCCTATAAATGGAAATTTTTGTAACAATCATGTGATGTTTTGAAAAAAAGAAAATCAACAATATTTAGAGAAATAACCAAAAAAAGTTTGTCTACCACACACATACATGTGTTAAGCTGAATCTTTAGACTATGTAGAGTTCACAGGATAAAAACCAAGGAAGGCACAATAGCACTTTGACTTTCTAAGCCATTTCTTCACTTATAAAACAAGATTATATGAGTTGAGAATCCCAGCACTCAGGAAGGGGAGGTAGGAGAAACAGAAATTGGAGGTCATCCTTGGCTATGTAGTAAGTCTGAGGCCAGCCTGGGCTACATAATAAATAAAATAAGTCGGACATGTCTGTAATCCCATCACTCAAGAGGTTGAAGACCTAGATTGCTGACGTGGGCCACAAGAGATTCTGTCTCAGACAACAAGCAGCCAAAATTTGTAGACTATTCCCAAGGAGCACTGGAGCCTCCAATTCCAGGTACTCGAACAACATCTGCCCCTTCCTCAGTTCCCTAAACTCAGCCCCAGATCACTGCTATGAAAGCCTACAGTGCCCTGGGGCTAAGATCACCTTGTGCCTACAGCCTTCCTGGTGAAGAATCTAAGGCCCAAAGAGACTGTAGTATTCAGCACTGGATTGCCTAAGTCCGCTCCCAATGTGTGGGCTATCTTATACCACACTGTCCTTTCCCGTGGCCTGCCTACACCTATGCTAGCTGCTGCTGGACAAAGACGCCTTCAGAGGAAACTGAGGTAGGGAAAGGGACCAGAAGTTGCCCCCAAACTAGAGCAAGACTGAAACTCCATCCAGGTCGGTCTCTTTTTATATTGCCTCACTTCCCTTTCTTCTCGCCCATTAAACCTGACCCCTTGAGGCCATGGAGATGGTGCCCTAGGAAAATACATGGGCTGCCAAGGCTGACAGCTTGAGTTCTGTCCTTGGGATGTGGATGGGGAGAACTGACCTCCTCACATTGTCCTCTGACCTCCACACACTTAGGCTCCCCCACTCCCACAAATACAGAGTAATCAGTTAACTCATTCTCTTTTCAAACCTAACCCCTTGCCAACTCTAGTGTCCTTTTCTATGCCCCGTGGGTCCCCTCCCTGACCTACTTCACTGGAGCTGATGTTAGGATGGTGATAAGGAAGGAAAATAAGAAACTCAGGCCCCTCTGACTCTGCCTCCCCCTCCCCCACACCTCCAGCCTCTTTCCTGGACAAGCATCTTGGAGTGTTTGTATGGAGAAACACCTACAGATTTCCCTGGGAAGCCTGTAAAAACATTGCAGCTGGAAGCTTGGAGACGGGCATCCGTCCTAACTCATCAGCCACAGTCTCTCTGAGCCACAGCCAGCTGACATGAAAAATAATCAGGAGCTTTCAGACATGTCAAACAGAATCCTAATGCCAGGACATTCTTCTGGCACCAAAGCTTAGAGAGGTCTGGTCTAGGGGCCTCCCTCTACCACCAACCCTTTAAGCGGCACCCTGTCCTGTGTTTTATAGTTTGTTCGGGTTTGCTTTTGATTTGTTTTTTACAATTATTTATTTATTTGGGGGGGCGGGAGGGAGTGGAGGCAAACCATGGGCATGTGTGGAGGTCAGAGGACAACTTGAAGGAGTTAGCTCTCTCCGTCCACCATATGGGTCCCAGGGATCAAACTCAGGCAGCATATTACTTTTGTCTACTGAACAATCTTGATTTGATTATTTTTTATTTATTGGATTTTATTTTCACTTTAAACTTTTTAAAGATTTTATTCTAAATTGTGTGTGTGAATATGTGTTTATGTTATGTGCACATGTTTGTAGACAGATTTTTCTTGGGGCCACCAGCTCACAAAAAAACAACATGGAGACTTATTATTAATTATAAAAGCTTAGCCTATAGCTTAGGCTTATCCCACTACCTCTTATAGCTTAAGTTAACCCATTTCTTTTCATCTATGTTCTTTCACATGGCTCAGTTACCTTTACTCTGTGCTGCCCATCCTGCTTCCGCTCCATCTGGCTGGTGACTTCACCCTTCTTCTTCCAAGAGCTCTTTCTCTGTCCAAAAGATCCTGCTATACCTCCTGTCTAGCTATTGGCCATTTAGCTTTTTATTAAACCAATCATAGTGACACATGCTCACACACTGTAGAGGAATACTCCACAACATATGTTTGTGGAGACCAGAAGAGGACTTCAGATCTCCTGGGATTAGAGTTACAAGTAGTTATGAGCACATGGGTGCTAGGAACTGATCTCAGGTCCACTGTAAGAGCAACAAGTGCTCTTAACTGCTGAGCCTCTCAGGACTTAGTGGGCTATTTTTGTTTTTGTTTTTTGTTTTTGTTTTTGTTTTGAGACAGAGTCTCACTACATAGGATAGGCTGGCCTAGAACTCACAATGTAACCCATGCTGGCCTCAGACTCATGATAATCCCCCTGTCTCAGCTTTTAAAGTACTGAGATTACAGGTAGGAACCATTATTCCAGGCTTCCCTGTGTGTATTTATTTATTTACTCGTGTGTGTGTGTGTGTGTGTGTGTGTGTGTGTGTGTGTGTGTGTGTCCAATGTCTTCCTCTATCACTCTTCACCTTATTTTCGGAGACAGGGTCTGTCACTGAACCTGGAGCTCACTGATTTGCTAGACTGTTGGCCATGGAACTCCTGATCCAACTGTCCCCAAACCACACACACCCAGGACTTCGGTTCCAAGTGCAGTGCAGGAATCAGGTGAAGATCCAAATTCAGATTCTCATGCTTGCCCTGTGTCTTAGTCACTGTTCCATGGCTGTGAAGAGACACCATGACCACAGCAACTCTTATAAAATAAAACATTTAATTAGAGGCTTGCTTACAGTTTCAGAGGCTTAGTCCATTATCATCATAGCAGGGGTATGGAGGCATGCATGGTGCTGGAGCAGTAGCTGAGAGCTACATCCTGATCCAGAGGTCAAGAAGTGAGAGGTGAGTCTAGCATGGGCTTCTGAAACCCCAAAGCCCACCCCAAGTGACACATTTCCTACAACAAGGCCTCACCTCCTAATCCTTCCAGTCCTTTCAAATAGTTCCACTCCCTGGAACTATTGACTAAGTTAGTTGACTAAGCCTTCAACTCTATGAGCCTGTCGGGGCCATTCTCATTCTCATTCAAACACCACACCCTGAACACTTTACCCATGAGCCATCTCCTCAGGTTTACACACTCAGGTTCTCACAATCATTTTCAAAGAAATAGTTGGACTGTTTTAAATTTTTTACATAACCAATGACTGAAATACTCTCGCCTGCTGACCAGTTTAAAAGGCAATCCATCATGTCATTCTAGAAAGAAGTGTACTAGTGTGATCCTCAAAAGACAGAGCTAGGAGGCTGTTTTACTTTCCTTGTCTTGTTTTGTTTGTTTTTGTTTTTGTTTTTAAAATCTGGGCAGGGATGTGGATCAGAGGTAGATCACCTGCCTAGCATTTATGAAGTCCTAAGTTCAGTCTCTAGCATCATTAAAAAAAAAAAAAAAAAAGTCTAGAGGGGCTGGAGAGATGACCCTGCAGTTAAGAGCAGTTGCTGCTCTTCCAGAGGACCGGAGTTTGGTTCTCAGCACCCACA